CAGAGCAATTAAGTTTCATTAAGGAGTTGGGTAATTTTGGTAGAATAGTTAATGGAGTATTATAGCAATTAAGTTCCATTAAGGAGTCGGGTAAAGTTGGTAGGATAGTAATTTTAGTATAAGAACAATCAAGTTTCGTTAAGGAGTTAGGTAAATCTGGTAGGAGAGTTATTTGATTATAAAACAGATCATTTCCAAAGCAATCAAGTTCCTTTAAGGAGTTTGGTAAAGTTGGTAGGATAGTTATTCTAGAATAAGAGCAGTTAAGTTTCGTTAAGGATTTGCGTAAAGTTGATAGGATAGTTATAAGATTACGAGAGAAAAAAGTACCAGAGCAATCAAGTTCGATTAAGGAGTTGGGTAAAGTTGGTAGGATAGGTATTAGAGTATTAGAGCAATAAAGATATTTTAAGGATCTGGGTAAAGTTGGTAGGATTGTTATTCTAGTACCAGTGCAATAAAGTTCAGTTAAGTAATTAGGTAAAGTTGGTAGTATAGTTATTTGAGTGTAAGAGCAACTAAGTTTACTTAAATGGATGGGTAAAGTTGGTAGTATAGTTGTTTGAGTATATGAGCAATTAAGTTTCCTTAAGTATTTGGGTAAAGTTGGTAGGATAGATATTTTATTATAAGAGAAAAAAGTACCAGAGCAATCAAGTTCGATTAAGGAGCTGGGTAAAGTTGGTAGATTAGTTATTGGAGTATAAGAACAATTAAGTTTCTCTAAGAAGCTGGGTAAAGTCGGTAATCTGGCTATTTGAGTACCAGTGCTATTAAGTATCGTTAAGGAATCGGGAAAAGATGGTAGGAAAGTTATTTGAGTATGAGAGCAATTAAGTTTCGTTAAGGAGTTGGGCAAAGATTGTAGGAAAGTTATTTGAGTATGATAGCAATTAAGTTCCGTTAAGGAGTTTGGCAAAGATGGTAGGAAAGTTATTTGAGTATGAGAGCAATCAAGTTCCGTTAAGGAGTTGCATAAAGTTGGTAGTAAAGTTATTCTAGTATAAGAGCAATTAAGTTTCGTTAAGGAGTTGGGCAAAGATTGTAGGAAAGTTATTTGAGTATGAGAGCAATTAAGTTCCGTTAAGGAGTTTGGTAAAGTTGGTAGGATGGTTATTTGAGTATCATTACAATAGAGTTTCGTTAAGGAGTTAGGTAAATCTGGTAGGATAGTTAATGAATTATGAGAACAATTAAGTTCTGTTAAGGAGATTGGTAAAGATGGTAGGATAGTTAATGAAGTACAAGAGCATATAAGTTTTGTTAAGGAGTTGGGTAAAGTTGGTAGGATAGTTATTGGATTACGAAAGAAAAGGCTAGAGCAATCTAGTTCGATTAAGGATTTTGGTAAAGTTGGTAAGCTGGTAATTTGAGCATTACTACAAGTGAGCTTTGCTAATTTTCGATATCTTTGTAATCCGCCTAAGGCATTTAATATGTCATCCTTATTATGGTACGTAATATTTAAACTAACAATCGAATCCTCGTAAACGATGATTGATGATTCATTACTCAATTCTATTTCTTGTATTCATCTGATTAAAATTTTTAATCATTCGAGATAATTCCCCTTGAAATGAATTGTTAATACTGGAAGATGCATTAACGCTATTCGAGTAAAGTGGTTGCACAGATAATTGAAGATTTGATTCATAATCAATTATATTTGTTTTTATAAATACATTTAATTCATCAACCACTTTGTTCATAAACGGACGATTGTCTGGCTCATTATCCCAACACTCTAAAATCATATAAAAATTAACATAAAAAATTTACATTCCTTAATTAAAGACAATAATATATTTACATGTTTATATAATCTTTAGATGTACCAGGAATGATGCTTTCTCTAAGCCCTTGTGAAATTTCTATAGCCAAACCAATATCATATGCTTCATCTTTAACATGAAAAGGACGACGACCACTTGATAGCTCCCACAAGAGCACGCCAACACTGTAAACGTCACTCTTTTCGTTTAGTACATATTGTTGCATTGTATTGTCATCTTTTCTTTCTTTAATAAAACTTTTAGGTACAATGTAAGGAATTACACCAAAAAATTTTGACTGATCGGTTGTTGCATCAATTCTTTTTGATAAACCAAAGTCAGCTAATTTAATATTGCCTTGATGGATTAAAATATTGCCTGAATGCTATTCATATAAAGAAATAATATATATATTAATAATTACTAAAAGAAATGTTCATAATAAACAAAATGAATCATAAGTTTACCAAATCACGATGCACAATTCCTTCGTCATGTAAACAAGATACATCACAAGCTAACTGGAATGCCAAGTTATATTTATCTCCCCAAGAAAGCTTATCAAAATTATTCTTCAAATAGTTTCTAAGTGTCCCGCCATCAGCATATTCCATTATTAAACAATAACTTTTCAATTCATTTTGATTTTCTATTTTTTTTTTTTTTTTTTTTTTACAAAAATAATAAATATAAAAATACAATGAAAATTCAATTTAAAACTATAATTGATTATTTTAAGATTTATATACCTTGGTTTGATGATGTGATCTCCAAACAGCGGATGATATTGCTATGAAAATCAACTTCCCGTTGATGCTCAAGCTAAAAATATTGAAGTATAAATTTTTTAGCTTGATATATAAAATGATTTTATACCAAATAAATCAAATAGACTGAAATGCATTTGTATCTTAATTACCTCACGAATGAGTTCTTTAACTGTGGTATCGTCAAAGTTATGAAATGATTTTAACGCGAGAAATTGCTTTGAACTTTTCCAATTTGCACGAAAGACTTTTCCAAAGCTTCCTGTACCTATCTTTTGAAAATTGCTAAAATGTTTATATTCATAGAATTTGATATTTTTTCTTGAAATGTATTCTTCAAGTGAATTAATACACTCATTTGAATTATTGTAAGTTTGCATTTTGCTTTATTTTAGCGAGACGAGAAAAAATTTGGGGAAAAACAAGAAATGGAATGGTGGATCAAATAAACATTAATCTACCATTCCATTAAAGATCGTAATTTTTCGATGATCGGCAACACCAATTCTTTGCAAGTAATTAAATTTTGTGACACATTATGATAGTCATTTCAGATATCACAAATCGGAATCTCGCAATTTGGATATCCAAAATGCGGAAGTATGTTTTGGATATGCGCTAGTATATATCCAAATAAAAACTTCGGCATTTCGGATATTCCAAACGACAATGGACTGCCCCAAATGATCATTTAGATATCCCTAATGGCCACTTCAAATGATCACCTCGAACGTTCTAAATGATCAATTTAAGTGAGATTATCTTTTGTTTTAAATAAATTTAAACTAGCAAAGTTAAAATTTAAAATACTTTGTAAAATAAAAAACTACGGCTATTTTGGACAATCTCCGAAGTGGTACGTTATTTTGTCATAGTTAGCATTTTAAATTCAATTTTTCAATCACAGATCGAAATGAAAATCCATACTTTTTTCCATACTTTAGTTAAATGGTAATTGATTTGTGAGCAGCTATCTCTATAATGGAGTAGCCTTTTTTTTTTTTTTATCAATCACCTTTCATAACTCTGCGGATATTCATTTTTTAGTTGCGGTTGCAGCAATTAAGTATTATTAAGGTTTAGACAGCATATTACGAGATTACATCACATTTTATTTTAACATCAGGATTTGAACAACAGACGTTTAAGGTAAATTTTTGAAAAAAAAAAGAAAAGATTGATTGGTCGTACGTTCTATTTATAAAGAAGTCATTAGCAATCTGGTCTGTGAATTTGATGATGCTTGTCATGTCAGCATAGATATCGATAAGAAGGAGAGTTTTGAGGGATTGCATTCCGCTGAATAGAAAATTTTCGAAATTGTCACACAAAGTCAAAAGAGTTGTCTCGATTATTCAAATTTCTGAATTTCCCACTCACGATCCTTTATAAAATATTTGTGTAACGAACGATAATATCTTGTGAATAACATTTTTCAAATTTACATGAACGTGTAATCATGAACTATACATCCCGCATGTTACTTTTCATTCATCATGCAATGAAACAAATAATGAGATTAATGGAACAATTGGCTTTCTTGCACTTATAAAACAAATAGTTGGAACCAACGTGTTGGGAACCGGATTCTTCTAGTTGTTCTCAAATTTGAATCTGCACTAGTATACGTATATTGACGATTTTCAGAATTACCTACCATATAACAGCATGGAAAAATAAATAATTATCTAATTAAATTATGTTTGATATTTTTATCTTGAAATAAAAGGTGAGGTGGGTATTTGACGCGCATTATTTCACAACGTATAAATAAATTGTTTAAAAGTGCACGTCACGTGATGATTCAATGAAAATGTCAGCGGATTTTATTTCTGTCAACCATATCTTGTTAACTACTTTATATTCATCTGAATTTTCTACCCTGGATTCATTAGTTGTCTAAAAATTTAATAAAATGACTAAATTATTAAAGGTCTGGAATCACAGCATTTTGTTGTGTCTCGCAGAAAATCTTCACTTGAAATTGAACGGAATTTTAAATGCAACTTTACCTTTGAGATTTATTAATTTAGGTAATACTATCTTGTGAAGTTAAATAAATTTAAATTTTTGATAATCCTAAAGTTGAAATTCACATACATGAGTTACATACGGGATAAATACATATTGTTTAGGTTTGGATTTAGGATTGAAAGGTGGATAGATTTTATTAGGGATTAATATACAAAATTTAAGTCTAGAGACATGATAAAAAAAAAAATCAAAAAAAAAACATAAATATAATTTTTAAAACAAATTTTATTATTCATTCTCTAATTTATTTTTGTTCTTTATATCACTCTATAAGTTTTCCAAATGTAAAATAGCATCATCCTTACAGTGATGTTATGAGATGAGGTAAATATTATAAACCCTATTTATATTTCCCTTCACTTCTATTAAACCTAACCTTTTTCCTCGTTCTCTTACAAGTACGTATTGTTTCGAAGTCATTATAAATTTATCGATATTGATGACTTGAAGAATTATGAAATTTCTGAAATATATCGTCTTTTTGCATACACATTCGTTGATTTCTTTGAAAAAACAAAGTCTCTTTCTTATTACATATACTCGCCCTTTTCGCGTATATAAACAAATATATAGTACATGTAGTAACGTTGGAAACACACTGTGCTATTCCTTTGGGTGGAAGAGATGTGACTTTTACGACTGTATTCTTTTCTTCAATCGTTGCTTGTAAGGATCGTAAAATCATAATAATGATGAACCAAGGGCGAATGAACATTCCATTGAAGTGAAGATTTAATTTCTCAAATTTAATAAGGATTGAAGAAAATGATCGAATATAAAAAAAAATAAATGTCCATGGAATGTATGATAGGTTAGGCTAAAATTATGTATTAAATTTATTTATAACTTTTAATTTGCATTGTTCGTATTATTTTTTTTATAAAGGTGATTTGGTTGAAAATTAAAGAGAATATTTATTAATATTTCAAGGAAATAAGAAATTCAGATTAGAGCGCTTCAAATGAGGAATGATCATCGACCCACGTAAGGAAAATTTTTTTTTTTAATATTTGAAAATAATCAATATAACTTTTGTACATTAATTAGAAACCCCATATAATTACAGGATATGAACAGCTTCAAAATTGTTAAAGGCTACAATAGGAATACCGAAGGATCTATGTTGAAACTTTCGCAATTTTGCCTTTAGTAAAAATATTTGGCAAAACATTTCGACGGGTTTCGATTTCGATGCCTGTAGAAACCTCCGGGTTTTGCCCGGCAACCTTTTTTCAAGTATTACAAAATTAGTGCCCGTAGGACATTTCAAAATCAATTTCTTATCCCGTAAGGTGATTTTAATTGCTTATATTTATATAAATTATAAGTTCAATAACATACATCATATCTTTGCAACGCACTTAAAGCTTTAATACCCGTATGTTAGACATAGTTCACATTTAAAAATCTGGAAGGTTGTATACGATTGGAAATTTTCATAATTATTCATGCATGAGATGGATTTAATTTACTTAATCTTTTTCCGCCTATTATTGAACTTTATTAATTGAACTAAATAATCTGATTGGCTTCTTCCAATATCCATGATTTTTTGTTTTTCTTTCCTTGCATGGAAATAATTTATTATTTGAAAAAATAAATTACAATGTAAACAAACATATTTCAAAAATAGTTTTTTGCGTTAATTATAATCGCGTTCAAGTTAATGAAAATTTGTTTCAAAATGAACGTAAATTATTGTGTATCCGTGTATGCATAAGCAAAGTAACAATTTGATCCTGATGTAAGGTTTCAATTACGTGCTGTTATTATTCTTTATTATACTTGCAGGTATTGTCATTACTTCTTCTTCTTAATTAAAAAAATCAAGGGTTTCTTAGATCAAAATGTTAATTTAAAGAATGAAATTAAAAATATACTTGTCTTTCAAAAACCTTTCACTTATAAAATGGCAACGATTTTAATCCTCTGATTATATCAAAAGGACAAAAAAATATTTACGATCACGAAAAATAAATCGAATTCATGAAATAATTATTAGTTTTCTTGCTCATTTTTGGTTATGCTTTCATTGGTCCATACTATACCAAATCAACTCCAAAAAAGACAAGCACCATAGTTTTTGGAATGTAGAGGAAATTTCCGGAAAATTTAACTAAATCTTTCAATTTTACCTCTCGCTTTGATAATCCAGACCGGTACAGTCTCTAGACAATAAAGAAATATCTAACTTTTAATATAGTAGTTCGTCACTATTGGTACATCTTCAATTTGACAGCTCGGGTTTAACACGATTCCATCATTCGTAGATTGTTGGAAAGTATCATTTATCTTATAATCATCTAAATCCTGGAATGGATTTGTAAAATTCGGTTTGTGATGGGGATGCAATATCTAGCAAAAGTTCGGATTTTTTGTGCTGGAACCAATTTAATACACTAGTGAGATTTAATTTATGAAAAAAACAACCATTTAAGGGTTTGGGTTCGTCTTGAAATTGGTGAAGAAATTTTGTCCATCTATGATAATAAATTTAAGTTTCGTAAATTATTGTACAAAATTCCTTGTACTTGTGGATTTTGTTATTTAATGAATACTTCCTTTTTAAAAAATTTTTTTTTTACAAATAAATTTATTATTTATTTTTTTTTTATTCTTTTTTATATAAATAAATATATTATTATTATTTTATAAAATATTTTTAAAACAAATTAAAAAAAAAAGTTACGCTGCCAAGATTATTATGTTTTAATATTACATTTGGAAAATTTTCATTTTAATAAAAAATATAATCAACTTCAGTTGATTATTTTTAAATTATTTAATTTTATGTGTATTGTAGTTGGGATTCATAAAAGATTACAACTTCGGTCAACACGTGGCACGCCAAAATTTTGATTTGAAAAGAATTACAAAAATCAGAAAAAAAGTATTTGAAAGTACCGCGTGTTTTTTTTTAAATATCTAGGCTCGATTTCAAAGTTTCTGCATCTTTTGAAGATGATAAATTACGTGACCCGATCACTAATGATGGGGATAAATGTTATCACTTTCATGGTATTTTAAATAATTGGATAATATTTGAATGTTACAAAATTAAATAATATTTTTTATTTTTAAAGCTATTATTTATCTGATTGTATCATTAATATTTCATTTTTTCTATAATTTATGTACTATTTGAATTTTACGCAATCATTAAAGGAAGAAGCTGATATTTTTATTTATGGAATCTCCTTTACCAAAATAATACCACATTTTTAGTACAACGACTTTTGCAAGATTTTTTCTCGAATAATGATTCCATGAAGAAATTAAAATTATGGTAAAAATTCTTTTATTATATAAATGAAACTTTAATATTCAAAAAGCATTTCTTTTTAATCTAGGGATTGGAATCGATTCAAAAAAGTAGTATCGATTTTAAAATCGATTATTCGCGATTAATGTTTCGATAGATTAATAGATTCTAATCGATTTATTTTTGGGAGCAACGATTTTGTGATTGTAAAACAAAATTTAATTGTTAAAAAATTTTATTTATAAATAAATAAACCTTTTGCCAACAAAATTATTATGATAATATGTTTCAAGCATATTTGACATGAAATATTATAAAAATTTTACCATAAAATTTTTTTTTTAATTTTGTTTTACTTTGGGTTCCTCGCTTTGGGCCGCTGCGATTGAACGAAATTTTCTTTATTATTAATAATTAAGATCGCTTTCGGCTCGGATCGCTTCGGAAGTACGCGGTATCTTTTTTTCTTTTAGTCTAGTTTTTAGTTTCTTTTTTTACTTATCTAAATTTTATTTTATAATATCATTCGCGCTTTTGATAAGACCATTTCTTTCTTAAGTCGAGTTGGAATCATTAGGTAAGTATTTTTTTTTTTTTTTTGATCGTTGCATCGATCAATTTTTATTTTTTATTAATGATAATTATAGCCGCACCTAAGAAAATGTGCTTTTCTTTTTGAAATTATATTCATCGGCTGTTGTCTTTCAAAAAAAATTAAATCTTTTATCAGTAATGTGATAAATATGTTGGTTAAACGATTTTATAAATTGTTTCTTTTTAAATTTTTTTTTTTTTAATAAAAAAATATTGCGATTTACTTTATGCGCACATCGAATTATTCTTTTTTTAATTAGATGGGAATATTTTTTCGTTTATTGATAGAATTTTGTAATTTAAAAATAGTTACTTTAAACGAATCGTTTATCGAATATTATTTAAACAATTACAACTTTTAAAAGTACGTCAAATGCTTGCGCTTAGCCAGATATAGTTCCGTTTCTCTTGAACACCGCGTAGAGGTGGCAAGCTCCGTTCAGGTTAAGAATATTTGAACCACCACATATCAAATGTGATAGCTCATTTGAGGTGAAAAAGAATGTGCAAACGAATATAATGGGGTATAAATTTAACAAATAAAATAAAATAAAAATCACCTCAAGACATCATCGAAATACATAAAGAAAGCATTTTAATTTTTTTTTTTTTAATATTTATATAAAATAAAAAATAAACTCTAAATTAAAGAAAAATATGGATGAAGTGGCCAAAAGAGGTTAAAGTTTAAAAATAAAAAAAAAAATTCCACCTTTATAAATTTTCACTAGGGTGTTTATCTTTTGATAAGCATGACTACGATACAAAGTATCGTATTTTTATATGAAGTTGGCTGTTTCGTCTTCCTTTTTATTCCTTTTTGCAATTAAACTTTAATGTGCCGGCCAAGACAACGAAAAAAGAAGAAGAAGAGGTAGCCAGTTTAAAAACGGAGGGGGAAAGGGTTAAAACCATAATCAATGGCTACGTAGATACCAGGAGGATCAAGATCCATCGGCTCTAGCCACCTTAGAAGACGATAATGAATAAAGGGACGGCTAAAAACGGGAAGGGTAAAGGAAGGAGTAGAGGAGTTAGTAGAAGAAGAAGAAACAGAAGAAGCAGAAGGGGATGGATAAGGGGATGAACTTAAAGAAGATGGGGAAGGAGGGGAAGAGGGAGAACGATATGATGTGGTATTAAAAAGAGAAAGAACATGAAGTTTAGTAGGGGGAACAGAAGAAGTTGCGAGAAAAGGGGAAGGAAATGGGGAGGGAGAAAAATTTGGGCCAGTGGAGGAAATTGAAGCTGTAGCAGGGGAAATAGGAGAAGTAGGGGAACTGTAGGAGAGTGAGAATAAAAATTTAAAGAAGAAGAAGAAGAGGGAGAAGAAGAAGGAGAAGAAGTAGAAGAACTAACAGAAGAAAGAGAAGAATAAGCAGCTGTAGAAGAGAAAAGGGAAGGAGGTACAGCTGTTAAAGGGGTAGAAGAAGTGGAAACTGAAAGGTGGATGGTAGAAAGGGAAGTTGAAGAAATATTTCGTCGTCTTGCACCTTGAACGCGAACCTGTCGAGTTCTTCGAGTCATCGTTTAAAGATTCCTTGAAATAATAAAATGTAAATTTTTTGGCTTACTTCTTTGTAAATAATATTTTTAAAAAATCAAATGCGAAAAACGATACCACCAAAAAGTAAAGAAAGTTGGAATAAAGATAGAATGAAGTTGCTATTTATTTTCAAAAAAACAAAAGTTGGCCAATGAACAATCATCGACGATCATCATTACGTCATTCGTCGTATCAAGTGATCTAGCTCTATGAAATTATGAAAGAATAAGCGATTAATATTAATAAATTGTGTATTTATGAAATCTAATTTTCTAGGAATCTAACAAATTTATGCATAATACTAAATTTTACACAAATAATGAAAACACATGTTCATATTCCAATTTTTTACAACAAAGCAAGGGTTCTACAATTTAATTCACCTTTGCACATTTAATGACAATAATGCAAAAACTTTGTCCTACTCAGTTTGTCGAAAATCATGTCTTGTTTAAAGATCAAATTCGCTAAAAATGTTTGTGATTAAGTTTGCTGCGGAGAATTATGACCGCAGTTAAAGCTGAGAACAAAACGACACACAAAACAATGCATTATAATATATTCACAGTCAGTCTTTTTATAAGCTTTGCATTCAACTCCTATGTATAATATTAAAAGAAAGTATATCAAACAAGAAAATCTAATGAATAATTTACAATTAATAAAGAATCACTTTTAAATTTATTTAAGCTGTTAATGGATTTATTTGTATTAATATTTTCCTTTCAGCAAAATTATTTAACAAAAATCAAATACTTAATGATAATGTGATCTAAAGACACTTAGGAACCTTAATCCTATTTGGCAAAAATCGATGGTTTCGTCAGTTTTCGACGGTTTGACAATTTCGACGAATTTCAATAGATTTTAAAATTTCGACAATTTGACTAACAATTCGATTTAACTAAATTTGCTTAATTTTACCTCAATTTCGTAGTGTGATGATGTCTAATTATTAATAACTTACCTTCCATTCAGACTACAATTGCTAGTTCCGTTTAGTGAAACATTAAAATAACACCCATGGAAATTAAACTTTACAAACTTCCTATAAATGATAAAATAAAATAAATAGATACCGTAAACTTTCCTAAATTAGTAATTATTATTACTAATTCCTCGCCATACCTTTTTTTTTTAATAGATATCAAATTTTTAATTAGATTTCCTTCCGTAACAAGGACCTTCCTTCTATCATCCATTTCTTTCATACGTTTATAACAAGAATAACTTCTTCATAAATATGTTGATTGTAAATAGTGGTTCCTAGTTGTATAATGGATTCTACGTCATCTTTAGTTGGATGTAGAAATTAAAATCCAAAGTATTACTAGCGGATTAATACATATTGCATAAGTGTAAGTTGTTTCGTCCTTATCTTTTCTTGCTCTTCAAAGTATTTCACTTTTTACAACATTCACATTAACTTAAGGCCTTGAAATATCCGTTCGATACGTTCGATAGGATTTACTTCGTTGTTAATAATAGGTAAAAAAGATTGTAATGAATACGGAAATTCACAAATTTAAAATTTTCTCTTGTTAAATTAGTAGGAATCGATTTGGGTTCGACATATTCCTGCGTTGGAATTTGGAAAAACGGTCGAATTGAAATTATAATTAATGACCAGGGTCATCGTACGACGCCTTCGTATGTCGCTTTCACCGAAACAAAACGTCTTATCAGTGATGCTGCAAAAAATCAAGTTAATATGAACCCTTATAATACTGTATTTAATGTTAAACGTCTCATTGGACGTAATTTTAGCGATGAAGTTATTCAATCCGATAAGGTAAAAATTATATCATCAATGTTACGAATTTGATCTACAATGCATTTTAATGCGTTAATAATTATCTTTTTTAATAGCATTGGCTATTTAAAATCATCGAAAAGAACGGAAAGCCATATATCCAAGTCAGATTCAAAGTCGAAAAGAAAGATTTCACACCCGAAGAAATTTCTTCTATGATCTTGGTAAAATTAAAGGAAATTGCAGAAGCTTACCTTGGTACAAAAGTTAATAATGCCGTAATTACTTCACCAGCTTACTTTAATGACTCTCAACGTCAAGCAATAAAAGATGCCGGTGAAATCGCTGGTTTGAAGTATTACGCATAATTAATGAAGCAACCGCGGCGGCCATTGCTTACGGTTTAAATACAAAAGCTTGTGGTGAACGAAACGTTCTTATCTATGATTTAGGTGTTGGTTCTTTTGATGTTTCACTCCTAAATATAGAAAAAGGAATTTTTGATGTAAAAGCCGTTGCTGGTGACACACATCTTGGCGGTGAAGATTTCGACAATCGACTTGTAAATCATTTCGTACAAGAATTCAACCGAAAATTTAAGGAAGATCTTACGACGAATGCAAGTGCTTTCCGTCGATTAAGGACAGCTTGTGAACGTGCAAGCGTGAACTTTCATCATCATTAAAATCTTCCATAGAAATAGATTCCATTTTCAAAGGTATCGATTTTTATACCTCCTTAACACGTGCAAAATTTGAAGAATTGAATCAAGACTTGTTTCAGTCTACAATGGAACATGTTGAAAAAGTACTTCGAGATTCTAAATTAAACAAAGTCAAATTCATGAAATTGTTCTAGTTGTGGTTCAACACGTATTCCTAAAATTCAAAAGAACCAAACAAATCTGTTAATCCTGATGAAGCCATGGCCTATGGTGCCGCCATTCAGGCTGCTATTTTATCTGGTGAAACTTCTGAAAAGACCCAAGATTTACTTTTACTCGATGTCGCCGCTTTATCTCTGGGTATTGAAACTACCGGCGGTGTCATGACACCGTTTATTAAACGTAATACTACAGTACCTACTAAGAAATCCGAAATTATTTCAACAGATTTTGAAAATCAATCGGAAATGATTATTCGAATTTATGAAGGCGAACGTGCCCGTACTAAGGATAACAACTTGCTGAACATTCGAATTAACTAGAATTCCGCCAGTACCAAAAGGTGTTGCACAAATCGAAGTCACATTGGATATTGATGGAAATGGTATCTTAAAAGTATGTATTTAATATTCAATTATCATTATAATTGACATATTTATTGTATTAACTTAAATTAATTGTAGGTATTTGCTGTTGATAAAACAACTAGACGATCGAATAAGATATCCATCACGAATGACAAAGGTAGATTGTCAAAGGAAGAAATCGAACGTATGGGCATGTAACCATATTCCACAATTTTGTGATGAAGTTTTTATGTAAAAGTCTTTTACTAACAAAATTATATAATAATAGTTGCCGAAGCTGAGAAATATCGTGAAGACGATGAGAAAATTGCACAAAATATACAGGCACGAAATCGTTTGGAAAGTTATGCATATAACTTACGTAATATTCTTCACGTAAGCGTTTATTTAATATTTATTATACTGAATTAAAATCTTCTCTGATCAATAGAGCGAACAAGTTGCTGCTAATATTGATCTAGCAAGCAAGATGAAAATTGAAGATGCAATTTAACAATCGATTACATGGCTTGAAAATAACCAAGATGCAATGAGGGAGAATATGATTATAAACAAAAGTCACTCAAAAAGTTAGCTGACTCAATAATAATGAAATTTTGTGGTACAGGCACCAGTTTTGGTCCCGGTGGCTTTTCAGTGTAAGTTGTGCGATAGTCAGTTTGAAAAAAGAGAAAATAATATATCGTATTAGCAAATTAAAATATTTTCTTTTAAATATTTTTGATTAATAAGCAACTTTATTTATGAATCTTTTCTTATTAATGATTATTAAGATTCAATTTGTAAAATCGCGTAAAATATCATAAACTTTATTTGGTATTTCACATTTGCTATAAATTTATTTATAAAAATATCAAAAGTTGACAAAACTAAAATAATTCATTTCTGTAAAAAGTTTTCAGATTTATCATTTTAAATTTATTAAGATGATATATTTCAACGGTTTTCATAGACAACTTTGCAATCTAAGATTTATTAAGTTAGAAAAATTTAAAAAATAATAAATTCAATTTTTAAAAAACTTGTCAATTTTTCAAAAGACACACTGCATCTTAAGGATCGGTAACAATAAATTTATCCATTTTCTAATTATTAAATCATTTTGCGGTACTAATTATATATAGTAAGTCGAAATTATATTGTTTAGATCTTCAAAGATTTTTCATGACATGTATATATGAATTGAATGATCATTTCTTCCTCAATTATTTACTTAATTGATGTTAAGTTAAATAAGCCATAATATAATAATAGATCTTAAAGAAGATATAGGTTCATCAGACAATGAATGCTAGGTGATCAAAAAGCAATTAACAATTATAATATGATTTGTTAATTTATTGAATAAAAAATAGCTTTATTTTTTTTTTTTTTTTTTTTTTTAGAAAAATGATCAAATCTGTTAAAACTTATCATAAAGATGATTTGATGATTAGTAAAAAACGATTAATCGAAGATCTAATAGTTCTTGGAGAAAAAGAAATAATAAATAATAATTGATTAAAACTTTAATTATTCGATTTAGTGACGAAGTTTTATTAATCATACATCAGATTCCTATATCTTTATTTCCATCAATGGACAAAGTTATACGTTACCTTATGCTAATCATCATTGAATCGGCATACAATGCTACCAATTATTTTTTTTTTTTTTTTTTTTTTTTGTTCTAGTGATCGGTCATCGGAGTACATCAATGCTACTAATCAATTAAGACCTCCGGAAATGATACCGATTTGTGTAACTACCCGAAGATCGCCATAAAAGTCACTACCACGTGATATCTGGCCCGCATTAATCTTCCCCAGGATCACCATCAAAAGAGGATCCTTAACCTGTACCCCGGGTGTAGACCTTTATCATAGACCTGGAGGGTGCATACTCTTATCCTGTACCCCTTTTGAACCTGATTGGTCATATATCGCGTCTTTGGCATAAACTAAATTTTTTCCGTTTCGTTTGTTTTATTTATATTTTAAAGAGAAAAAACAAGCTAATTTCTAAAACATAATTTATAAAAGTATAATATTTAAAATTTTTATTCTTTTATTTATTTTCAAAAGAAAAATAATAATAAAATATTTATTAAAGCTACTCTTCTTTATGTACATAATAGTCAAAATTGGCACTTTCTTCCATAATTTTTCTAGCTTCTTCAAATGTTATATTGCCCTTATCCTGAGAAATCAAACGTAATGCAGTTTCTGGAACAAAACTTCTTGCAAAAAATAAACTGGTTATTGTTTTGAAAGTATATCGCTAATAATATTTAATCTCTTTGTACCATAATACCCTGGCTACAAAAATAAATTTAACGTAAATATTCAAAATTCTATAAAAATTTAAAAAAAAAAATTAATTACTTACTCTTAATTCTTCAAAGCGATTCATTATTGCCATTGGAGTTCCTGCTTCTTGATCCAATTTCTTTACAAACTTCTAAAGAAAAATTCCGGTAGTAACTATCAACTTTTTTTTAAGGAAATCATCTTTCATTTGGGTTATTCGATCTTCTAATAATTCAAAATTAATCTCCATAGGATCCGCGTTATCACAAAATAAGCATCGGTCTTGCGTTGGAATCCCTAAAAAAAAATTATTATTATAATTATCTATATATATATCTATATATATATATTTAGAACTTGTTTATTTAAAATATCTTTGTTAATTTACCATTTTGTTTTCCAATTTTTCTTAATAAAAGGCGAATTTTTGATGGAAGAGGATTAGGTAAGAACTCCGTACAAAAAGGACATTTATTATCTATGAATAATTAAAAATTAACTATTATTTCGTATACCAAGTTATAATTTTTAATTTTAAATTTTAATATTAAAGCAAAATGATAATTATTATTAAAGCATTAAAGAAAAATTACCTGATGAAATTTGGTAATGGAATTATTTTCTTTTCCAAGATTATTTTCTTCTAAACCTTTGACTCTTCATTATTCAGAGGTGTATTTTGTTCATGTGATATTAATGCAGGACTTTTAGAAAATTTTGCATTTTCAAGTTAACTTTTATTTCTTTTTTTGAACATGTCCTTATAAAAGTTGTAAAAAAAAAAAATTAAAAATGAATTAATAATTATATTTATTAAAAAAAATCTTACCTTTTGACTTATTATTGCTGGATTTTTGATTTTTTTATTGCCTTGAACTTGTAAAATTCTTTTTGAAATATAAGAGGATATTTCTTCTTTACTGATTTATTGAACAAAACATAAAATTTTTTGCTACTTTGGGTTTGACCTTTACTATTCAATGAATTTTGTATCAAGTTCAATTTAAGAGATATATATAATCTTTGTGATCATTTTTCACATTTGAAATTTCATCTTGATTACTTATTCCTAATTCTCCAGTATTATTATAAAATGATTTATTTCTTCAAGCGTTTTGCAGGCAAATTTTATTTAATAATTAAAATTATTTATAATAATTTTAAATATTTTTAAAATAATTTATTTAAAAATTAATATTTT